TTTTTTAACATATTTATATGACATTTTACACATTATAGTGTGTTATAATTTGTTTTACATACAGAAGGATAAAGGATGAAGCTCTCGCCGTTGACCAATCGCTTAGAGATGCGCCATGCATTCTAGTTGATTAATATATGTATAGTCAATAAAGTAGAAAAAGAGCTTTTGAAGAAAAACATAGCGTCAACATGTGATCAAACTAAGCTCTGTTTCCCTGGTTAATGCTCTCGCGGCGACGCTCAATCTCTTTTTTATGGGGAATGGACGACGTCCAATTTCCAGCCTTTATGGACTTGCTGATTTTTTAAAAACAAACAGTAATGTTATATCTTTTTATTTTCTGCCTACTATAATTTCGCAGCAGGGTACTAAGCGAAATACAACCACAACGTTGCTGAGATATTTGCAAAACTCTGGACCGCTACTGTCCTTTCCGGGGAGTAACGCGTTCCCCACCATAGACACCTGCGGTCCAGAGTTTTGCAAATATCTCAGCAACGTTGTGGTTGTATTTCGCTTACCCCCCTGCCGCGAAATTATAGTAGGCAGAAAATAAAAAGGTATAACATTGTGATTTCAACTACAGCTGCAGCTTAACTGGGTTCTATGCCGATTTGGGCGCCCAGATCAATTCTGCTGAGGGGTGATTGCTGTGCCAAAGATCGATAGAAATAGCTGAGAGACAGGCGAAACGAAGGACCCGCATGGTGTGGTGGTGAACGCGTTACTCCCCGAAAAGGACAATAGCGCGTTCGTTCCCCACCATAGACGCCTACGGTCCAAAGTTTTGCAAATATTTCAACAAACAGTAATTTTTCAATAACTAGAGGACTTCGTGGGTTGTAATCATGAATGGATTGCAGCAAAGACTTCGCTCTGTCGTTCTATTCGTATGAATGATGTTGATGGTACCATTTAACAAATATTATTATGGTCTATCACACAAATACATTGCTGGCAGCATTTCAAACTTCTTGAAACATATGGGTCTCCATTTCAGTATTCTTTATATAGACACACTTATGTGACAGCTATCATTCACTATAAAATAAAAAAGGATACAGCTCTCGGCGTTGATCAATCCCTGAGGAATTCACCATGCATTAGACTTCATTAAGCATCGTTTGGAGGTGATTCAATGCATATCTGGCCTTTACAATGATTCGCGATGGCCTACCGATATGTATCGAGCCAGTCCTGCTATCCTCCTAGACAAGTCTGGTACCAATTTGGCGACCGCGGAGAGATGGAAGGCTTGGTGAGCCATGGGCGCAACGATCGATTCCACGTGTGTGTCGCAGTGGCGCTTCCAACCACTGCGCCACACGCACTATGTCAATTGTAATTGAAATAGTAATCGATTAGCACCCAAATTTCCGATTAGTGAACCGTTCGGAAAAGCGTTTTTGTACATTTCTAAATGCAGCATAGAGTTTTCCCTGAATAGCGCCCAACACAACATCCGTGTTCTACAAGCTCTGATAAAAATCAATTGATAAAAAGTGTTGAGAAATGGTTTTATGTTTTGAAATAAACCACTGGATCGAAAATGAGACTTATAAGTGACCTACTAACCACTACTCCTCAGGATGTTAAACGCACTGCAGGAAGACCACCGACCCGATGGTCAGAGTTCTTCACGAAGAGCCTAGGTGACCGACCACTGGCGCAAAAATGTTATGACACCTATAGGTGTCACTCGTTGCGAGAGTGTAAACAACAGCCATCAGAGTTTATAATTGTTGAATACCCAGTGTACTAGTTACTAAAGTTGCTAAAACCTACTGCAGTTAACAACAGCTTAGGAAAGCTACTGCCACATTTTTTAAAGGCATGCGTTCACTGTAATCCATAAACCTTCGAGGCAACAGAAAAAGTACCGTCCTTTAAGACGTACCAGGATAGGAAAACAAGAAAGTCGCTTTCGTGAATAAAAACATGGAATTTACAAAACTCGATAGTGCGCAGAGACATTCAATCTTGTACACAATACCTTAAAAGTACGAGGACAAAAGAAGTGACTGAACATTCGAACATAAACAGTCAATTAGAAGTGGAAAAGCCCGAAATAAGTTCGACTGCGGCTTTATCGATCGAAACTGTAATAGTGATTTGCTTGGGAGAATTGGTGTCCTCGATTTCGCAAATCATTTGATCACGTCGCGCTGGGAACAAGATCGAGACGAGATGCAACAAAGCCATTGATCAGCGACTGATCACCATGTAGTGCGCGACGCCTTCACACTCTTTGGGAAGCCAGAAAGGCTCACTATTGTGAATATAACACTCCTAGCAGACGAAAACCTCAAAAACATTAAAATCACGTGTGCGGAACAAGGAAATACTACAAAGAGTGGGAAGATTTGCATATCAATCTATATGAGCGGCTTTCACGAACCGTATCAGCTCTAGAAGAAGAAGGTTTTTCGATGACGTTCTGGCCTTTGGCTTCGTTTGACAGGGCCAAGCAAATGAAAGTCCTTCATTAGCTTTCTTCCAAACTTGACATTAACCGAAATATGTATTCTCATTGTAATGCCGCGCATCCATTCTCCACAGGGTCAATTTGAAATGAAACTCCAGGAGGACACGTTGAGCTACTGCATGATTCAGGTTCTTCCCAGTGATGAACCGTGCGTAAAAACCCGATATGTAGGAACATCTCATATTTAAGCACGTAACCACAGCTGATTAACCAGCTGAGAAGGAAAACATTTAATCTTCCTATAATATTAATGATCGCATGCAGCGCAGTGGTCCCAGGGGCCCTGCAACATTAAAGATTAAGAATTAATTAATAATTCTTTAACACTTAGACCAGGAGGCGGAAAGCGCAGTTGCAGTGATGTCCATCATCACAAGCATGGTGCTAGTTCGATTCCGCTCAGGGCCAACCAAGCCTCTCGTCACCCGGGAACAGGAAATTGGTAACGAACTTGACTGGAGAAAATCGCTGTCTGCAATCCAATTGGGAACGCTCCAGGCGGCCTATTTCAAGACTCCAGGGAGAATTGCTCGTCCAGCATTCTACGACATTGAAGATGAAATGAAAATCCTCAAGCAGCAACCCAAGCCACACGTAAAAGTTGAAAGATCTTCGCTGTTAATGGATGCGAGGAATCGAATCGAACGTGAGAAGTTATGAAATCCACACAGTAGACGTGAAGACGGATAAAAAAAGCAGACCAAATATGCTGGAATATGAACCCCATTGTGTTCATCACTATTTCAGGTCCACAAAAATCATCTCGCCAAGTTGAAGTGATAGAAGAGCCAACAAACGTTATTGGAATGTGGGTTACAAGATAATGAAGGGCTTAACTAGGGCGAAAAGGGGAATATTCCAAAGCGTCTTTAAAAAACAATCTTAAAAGCTGAGAAAAAGAAAGCTGTTCGCAAGACGTAATTTAGATGTTTCACAAAGTGTTATTTCATCTATAAACACATCCAGGTAATAGATCACGATGTGATCTGCATACAGGAAATTGTGAACTCCACCGACGAACAGATGTTTTGCGCATCGCAGACAGCACTGCTTCGAAACTGGATCGGCATCGGTCCGGTGGACCTGAGGCGTCGTCGGTCGAATCGAGCACCCTCAAGCTTATGACATGGATAAGCGCATTCCTCTACCAATAAGGCTGAAATGGATTCCGTCAATCCAACATATTATTGATCGTCACAGTATTAACAGAACCGTTTAGACGGTAGCATGGTTAGAGGCACGTGTCGCGCAGTGGTCGAAGGTGCCTTCAAAACACACGGAATCGATCTCGGTGTTCCAAGCTCACCAAGCCTTTCATCTCTCCGGGGTCAGTAAATTGGTACCAGACGTCTAGGAAGATGGCGCGACTGACTAGATACACCGCTAAGCCTCCGCGAGTCTATGTAAAGGCCACGTAGGCATTCAATCACCTCGAACGATGATTAGTGAAGTGGAATGCAGAGAATGATCAACACCGAGAGCTTTATCTCTTTCTTAACGTTTAGGCAACGACGAAAATTGCAAAAAAAAATCTCGAAATTAGAGTTGGTTTCGAGAACCCTGTCTTAACACGATCGCTTGCAACGCTCATCTCTTGCCGTAGAAATCCAAGTTGTAAAACTACTGTTCGTACTCATCACTTTTCAATAATACAAATATTGTTCCTTCTATGAAAGTACATTACGCGACATTCTATGTTTTCGACTTACTAAATTTTTTTAAGATACTGTCGCAATCTCGCAAAAATTTATAGGCGACTCAAGAGTTACCTGTTCCCAGCATAGTATCGAGAGTCTCGCTGCGAAGTTCGGTCAAATCAGCAGCACTATGCGCGAACTCGTAACTACGCTGCTCATTCTCGATCACCCCTTCCAGTCTAGTAGTTCGCTTACTCTCGTTGTAAGGTTTTAAAAACTCTAAGGACATATGTCTCCCATGCCAAGAACAACATTGCTCTTTGCTGTCAGCTCGTTATCCGGCACTTTTGTATGTTCTATCGAGTTAGCCCCTGGAAAGCCCCTGGAAGCCCCTCTCACTAGTCGGCTAGGTGCGATTTAACTGAGAACGTTCGTTCTTCCCGATGCCATTGTAATACAAAAACGCCGGAAATAAAGAAGTAAACTTCTATGACAGAGGAAAAAAGGTGTTAGAAAGCTTTGGAGGGTGTTTGGGACTCATCAATTTTCCACGTAACCCTAAGCACTAAAATTCTCGTTCTGGCGTTCAATTCCTCTCTTTTGCCCTTGAAAAAACGTAATCGATTTGCCCTTTGTGTGAACTGTTTGATAATACCCCGCATCACAGTGATGTCAGACGTTCCACATTCGTTACCTCGTTCCGTCGTTCGTCACTTAAATGCAAATATTCATCTAGTGCTTAACATGTCGTCACTTCTTCCTTCATCAATTGCCCGTTTGAATATCTTCGGATAATTTTCTTTAGTTTCGTTTAAATTTCGTCTTAACACTTCAAGTACAATAATTTTCATCCATTACAGCCCAATTTCGGAAACATGACGAGTTGTCGCCGTCTTGAAGGCAAAGTTGCAATTGTGACAGCGTCCACTAAAGGGTGGGTTACTTCTCGATTGCCAAAAGAAATTACCGGGCACGCTGTGTAGCAGATGGGTCAGCATATTTTGATTCTCCTCGATGAACCTTCTGCTTTGATTATCTGTGGTTTAACCACAATGATGCTGATATATTTGCAAACCTCCGAACCGCAGATGTCTCTGGTGGGAAACGAACGCGCTGTTACTCTTTCCAGGGGTTAATTCGTTCGTTACCACATCATGCGCGATACTGAAAAAATACCCTGCCATGTAAAATTGTAATAGGCAGTAATTGAAAAGTTAAAATCGTGATATCTGTGATTTATTTATCGTATTTGATAATATGTGTCTGTGTTTGTCGCAGAATGACGGTAAAACACTTAGTTACTAATCAGGGAATGCAGACACGTGTATTTTTTCTCAATGTCATGGTGAATTTTGAGAATCGGTCTGGCAATCGCAGAACGCCTAAGCCTGGAAGGCGCTGCCGTTGTCATTTCCAGTCGGGCTCAGAAGAATGTAGACGACGCCCTCGAATATCTCAGGTCAAAAAGTGATTCAAAGGTTGGTTGGTTTTGTTTCGGAACTAGTTGAATTAAAAAAGACACGCTTTTAGATAGAGGGCTTGGTGTGCGATGTTGCTGACAGGGACCATCAACGAAAACTCGTGGATTTCGTGAGTTTCTAGTCAAATAGCGATTCCGATACCAACCTTCATGTGGCATGTGTGCTCATGGGTTTTTCTATGATTTTGTAAACAATCTTAATGATTCTCCTTCGATGGAAGAGGGAATGAATCGCTGCCGGACTCGTGAGGTGACTTCCTAATCCTTCCTCATCTGTTACACTCCATGCCTATGTAACTCTTTCTTAACAGTAGTCTACAATGAAACCAACAGACAGAAAAACTGTGAGTTATTAAGTGGATAAAATGACTGTTTGGTACAGAATTTATGCGTGTGCGTTGTCGATTGAACACAAATATTCCAACAAAGACTTCTGTACGGCATAACCAATGGACGCTATGAGACGAACTTATATCATTGTATACTATCATACTGTAAACATATTTCATATTGCATTTATGTTGTATTCCAAATAACACCCTGCCGGAAAAATTGATAGGGTGTAAATGAAAAGTTATACATTGTGATTCCGACTATAGCCTCAGCTAAACTGAGTTCAGCGCCGATTTGTGTGACCCAGATCATTCTCACTGACAGCTGATGCTACCGTTAGAATGAAAGATTGGCTGTGAGAAAGACAAAGTAAGGGCCTAAGTGGTGCCATGAGTAACACGTGAGCCCCTGCAAATGGTTATCGTAGGTTCGAATCTGGCTTGGGGTCTAAGTTTTGTAAATGTCTCAGCAACATTGTGGCTGTGTTTCACATAATACTCTGCTGTAAAAAAAATGATAGGCAGTAAATAGAGTTATACAGTGAACTAATACTAGTTTACCTAAACTAGTCTGCCCTCCGTTATGAGTGAAAGCCCACTAACATGGCACTCAAAGTGTTAACGGTTCAGAAATTTGTGAATTTCAGACGATCGAGAAATTCAATAAGATCGACATTCTGATCAACAACCATGCTATCAGTCCAGTATTTTGCCATATTCTTGGTGGGTCGTCTCTCGTACTCCTTTTATTTGACAATTTTTTGTTTTACTTTTATTTTATTCATTCGAAATGTAGCTCAACTAAGCAACATTAGGAAAAAAGAAGTCTCGAAACTCTTGTAGTCGAAATGTAGATGATGTCAAACAAATGCTGTACTGAAAATGAAATGAGTTTCAGAGTTGGAAGAAAAGGTTTGGGATAAGCTATTCCAAGTGAATGTTAAAGCAGGTTGGCAACTATCAAAGCTAGTTTATCCCCATATGATAAAAAATGGGTAAGGTCAAGTCATAAGTTATGTTTTCTACAAATACTTTTTTATAACTTCAATGATGCTGTGGTATTTGCAAAACTCCGGACCGCAGGTGTCTGCGGTAGGGAACGAACGCGCTATTGTACTTTCCGGGGAGTAGCGCGTTCGCCACCACACCATGCTGATCCTTCGTTTCGCTTGTCTCTCAGCTAGTTCTATCGATCTTTTGCCATCAGCAATCACCCGTCAGCGGGATTGATCTGGGGGGCTCAAATCGCCAACGAACCCAGTTAAGCTGAGGCCGCAATTATAATCACAATCGAACGCGCTACTCTCCGGAAAGGACAATAGCGCTTTCGTTCCCCACCGCATACACCTGCGATCCGGAGTTTTGCAGTTATCTCAGCATCATTGAAGTTATATTTCGCAATATACCCTCCCGTTAAAAAGAGTAGGCAGTAAATAATAAGTTAAAACCTTTTTGTACTAAACATGGTACAAAATTTCAGTGGTGGAAATATCCTATTCAACTCTTCACTTACGGCTTATAGGCTACCGCCAAAAGTGAGTTTCCATATCTTTCGATCTGAAATTTGTGAAGCTCTACGAAGTGGCTGCATTCTGTTCAGCCATCTCGGTAACTTCAGCTTGAATTACTCCTAAAACATAAAGTGAAAACTCACCTACAGATCCACTCTTCAATTTTTTGATATGCACTTTCCAAAAATCCTCGCTGTGGTTCAAACTCATTCTGGTTGGGATGTTCCCTTCCCACCCACCCAGGAAGTGACCCTACTTTTCGCAGTATGGCTCATTATCTTTTGTACTTTGTCACTAATTCCGGTGTTCTTTGTTTCTTATGAGACGTCTTAGTTACATTTTGGGTACTCTGAAGAAAGTTTGTCCACCATACAACCACGGTGGCGTCAACATTCGGTAGGTGCTTTCACAACATATTTGAAATATTTGTCAGTATTTCTTGTATCCATTAAATACGTACGATACCCACGGTGCATCACAGCAATTTGTTGTGAAATTATTCTTGTTTCATTCTTTTTACAAGACCCATTTCCACATCTACAATGTGAATCCCAGCACCTCTTGCATTCACTTACTTACCTGCTTCCTTCAACCACGAAGGTCTTCGAACTTTTCGGGTATGGGTTTGGCGGCCGCTTGAGAATTGCTGTCCTCTTATGAATTTCGTGGAGTTCTTGTTGAGTCGGTTCTCCCTGGGGTCCTGCGACGGGGTTAGGGTGTTCTCAATAACATTTACGGGTTAAATTTACATCTACATATACCACACATAATGGACACGGCTGATTTTTCCATAAAATTTGCACTAATTTTGAAACATGGGAATGCTCATTGAAGATGCCTTGTTCCCTTCGCTCCATGTTTACGTATACTTCCGCTGATATGTTCGCTTCAATATGATTTTTACTTGATATTGATTATTTTTTAAATCAAGAAACAAATTCTAATGTTTTAATGCCTTGAATAAATGTCCTACAATCTCAAACGTCAGCGATACATTGTGAAGCATCACCGTGTCCACTAGGATCGAATTCCATTTATTAAGTCGTGTTGCAGTTCGAATAACGAGCCACGACGAAAAGCTACGTTTTGTGAGCTCAAGAAAGTCACTGGAATGCTTGAATATAAACTGGGTTTTTCAAAGTCGAGAGGGTGAATTACTGTCCGGGTATATAGAAGCAGCTCTAACCACGATGGCAAACGATTGGAGTGACCGCACGGCTAACCGTACAACTAAACCACAATTACTCATATCCAAGTCTTAATCAATTACCGTTTTGTCGTCGCAGAAAGGTGTCTAAAGTACCAAAGTTAAGTATTTAGGTATAGCAAAGGCAAAGTGAAAGACTCTGTTTATTTTCTACCGCAACAGTGTTAGTAGTGGGTGCTCCTTTCGGCAGCAAAAGATTCTCACTGAGAACACGAGAGCGCCCCAAAAACAGTATTCGTAAACTCATAAGAGTATGAAACAGTTTTTCAAGACCAGTGGCCGGAATAATGATCTCTGTTCGATAGGCTATCCAGTGAACATAAAAAATAAAGGAGGACAAACGACTGCAAATAAAATTACTTGGTATTAACTCCCTCCCAACGGTTTACCGCCTCATCGTGGCTAGGAGGTGTTCCTAGGTCGAGCTGCGATGCGAATCAGAGAGGGTATTTATCCCCCCCCCCCAATAGGATAATTTATCTCCCAAGGTGAGAAGGAGTCAGGCGTTTCTATCAGGAACGCCAGCTAAGAGTAAACCAATGCCAGGATCCATCACCCTCCCGGTATCAAATCAAACTCGTGGTGGCAAATCTCCCTCTGATAAACAAGGGCAGCGACTGCTTGTGGTGGTGACGACCTGGGGCAGACTTTGGCCTGGTTGACCTCGAAATTCCAGAGAACTACAGAGGCTAAACCAGTAAAACTCCGAATAAAATGGAGATTGTGCTGGTGCCCACACAATCAGTTACTGCGGAGCATCCGTGTATCGAAGTAAGTTTTAAGTGTTAAATAAAACCAACATGTGGGCTCCAATTGTCGATCGCTATTATCATCCACCTTTATGCATAAACGATAATAATACTACAGAAAATCTATGTGAAACCTTATATTAAATTTAGTTCCCAAGAATTGTAAAAATACGACAAACAATTGGAGTGAGCAGAAATTCCATTTCTAAGTAGAAATATTGCAATTAAAGCATAAACTTGCAGCAATTTGGTTTTCAGGGATTCGCCACCTACGGAGTGACTAAGAGTGCGTTGATTGGTCTCACGAAAGCTTTAGCCGTTGCTTTGGCCAAGGATAAGATCCGCGTCAACGCTATTGCACCAGGAATCATAAGAACTGAGAGAGTCAACGCGGTATAGACTGCAAATTCAATGTTCGAACTAAAAATCAGTGGTCATAGTGAATTATGGGTACTCTTAGAAATCAACCATTCCAAATATGTTTCAAAAATCGGTTAAAGAACTCTGTACATCTTTTTATCAAAGAAGTCACACTTACGAAAGCTTGATAGTGGCACGTATTCGTATATTATGAAATGCATGACCTGGCCAAACATGAACAGTGAGTTGCATCATTGTTAAGTGTGACAAAGACACTACAGGTTTTGGATGGCACTGTAGACAATGCCGACAGAACAGCTGCTGCTACTAGAGAAGTTGTTGAAGTATGTTTCAAGCCAATAGCGCATTCATGACTATTGACAAAGTCATGACGCATATTAAAGATAAATTGTCTCGTTGATTACTAAAAATCGGCTTTACCTTCAGATTCCGCTGGGGCGAGTGGGTGAACCCAAGGATTGCGCTGGAGCAGTCGCTTTTCTTGTTTCCGATGACGCACTGCACATTACTGGTGAAACCATTGTCATTGCTGGTGGTGTCCATGGAAGATTTTGATGAATTCACTAGATGTGCCATACAACCAGATGTTTGTTAATTGTTTCTACACCGCTAGAAGATACTATGTTTAAGTTTACCTGAACGAAATGAAAACTACTTGGAAAGGCAGTGGAATGTTGCACGGGTTAACTAAAAAATTTTTGTAGCAATTTTTGTAGCCTACATCAACGATTTTGACTTCAATCAGTATAATATGCTTGAATACTTACATTACTGTAACTAGTCCACACGACTTTTTTGTTCAAAAAACTCCGAACCTGTTTGCTTCTTGTTGTGGATGTGAAAAGAAGTTCCAGCCTTGAACTTAATAGTAAAGGAAAAAATTAGAAATGGAAAAAATCAGATATTGAGCAGGTTAATCAAAATTGAGACAAATTCAAACCAACTAACTAAACAAGTAAGCATGAGAAACATTAACAGAAGTGATTTTGTTCGTATTTTTTTGAGCAAACGCGAGGTGTTATTGTTCTTTGTTCACGATTAAGCTGACGTTTCGGCGA